ACACACACACACACACACACACACACACACACACACACACACACACACACACACACACACACACACACACACACACACACACACACACACACACACACACACACACCACACACACACACACACACACACACACACACACACACACACACACACACACACACACACACACCACACACACACACACACACACACACACGCACACACACACACACACCACACACACACACACACACACACACACACACACACACACACACACACACGCACACACACACACACACACACACACATATATATATATATATATATATATATATATATATATATATATATATATATATATATATATATATATATATATATATATATAAGTGTAGGACAAAAAGCCGACAGCCAACAGGCCGACAGACAATAAGGCCAAATGACCATAAGGCCGACAGACATAAAAATACTAATATCGCAAAATATGTGTTACTATATAGCTCCTATCTAGACAGACACCATCGAAATAAGGAAAGAAATAAGACGAAAATTTCAAGAGAGGAGACTATGCTAGTTGCTATCCTTATATTATAAGGTAAACCATTGGGTCCAATTGACTGGAGATTACGGGAGTGTCTTAAACACTTATGATTAACAACTACATTTTGAGAAATACGGTCACTAGCTGCTGGCATCATCGCCCACAGGTAATAAGGCAGAACAACAAGAGACATATCTAGTTGCTATCCTTATAAGGTGAACAATGGGGCCCATGCGACTGGAGATGTCGCAAAGAAAAGAAAGACTGAATGAAGGTGACTGATCACGTCCCTTGACCGGACTACATGTTAAATACCGACAAAATGTGAATTGTATTCCAGGGTTCGTTCATTGCGGATAGCATAAAACAAATTCGGGGCAGTGTTTCTTCCAGACTTTTTTCTCCGGGGGGGGGGGGGAGGGGGTGGCGGGTTCTTGATTATCAAGGGGAGGCGGCGGACATTTTTCCGGGAGGGGGGGGGGCGCGACACTGGTAACAGTATATGCTTTCTATATAAATTCCTTTTCGTTCCGAGGGAGCGGTAGTCTTTCTTTGGGGGGGGGGGGGGTCGACTATGACCACCCCGAAGAGATGCCTGGAAGAAACTTTGCTTTGGGGTGACAGTTGGTAGGGTGAGGGAAAGGATAACTGTGCATTTAAATTTATGGCAATGGGATGCGAAACCTTAAGAAAAGGATCTCCAAGTTCGGGTACTTCGTTACTGGATCTCTGACCGGAGTCGTTCAAGAGAAGCTTCGTGTTTAAAGATCGTCCACGTATTACATTACCGGTCAAGACCGCGGTCTCACCAGTGAAGGTTCGTGTCTGTAATTAAGTGAACCACGTGACAGCCAGCTACACCTTATTTACGAGTTTCGCGACGGTATGCCCGGGCTGCCGTGAATGTCTAGACGTGTGAGAAATCAGGATAACTTTACAATAAAACGAACTCTGCCAGATGTATCAAAACAGTATAGACTTCACATTTTGTTTAGAATCCCTACAATATTTAAAAACAAAAATCAATATAGTCTTAACCATTATAAAGAATATCCCTACAATAAATAAACAACCTGTGCTTAATCACTCTACGAATGCCCTTATAGTTCACCAAAATGAATATAGGCATAGTTACTGTATGCATGCCCCTCAATAATATTTAAATAAACAAGCATAATTACATAAAAGATACCCCTACAGTGTATGCATTATGATTATGGGTTAAACAGGCCTACTCTATGGGTGCCTACAAAATGTATTATAATGAATATTGGCAAAATATACTTTATAGATGCTTATAGACATAACTTCTCTAATAGACGCCCCTACCTACACTATGCCTAAAACAAGTATCAGGTAAACTATTTAACTGAAAAACACATTTATTATGGGAATATCAATTCCAAATGACTGCCCTTCACGATACCCCTTTCTCCATAAAAAATGTGCGACGCCGACAATACGATGACTATATCATGTTAGTACCATTGGTAGACGATAGTAAATATCAATTTGGATGGATTCGGTAAATTAATAATTCTGTTTGCGAACGGATGAATCCATATTATCCCAAGGTCTCAAATTTTTATAATTTTTTGATATGGTTTAGCTTTTGAGCACTGAATGAAGGAATGACTATGGATTTTTTTAAAAAATCAATACTTTTTTAAATATCGATTTTTTAAAAAACGTCCCATAAATGGGACGCTAGCAACGAAAGGCCCCATGTACATTTATTGAAAAATAAAATAATTTATTACGAAATATGGCTATTCACGCGAAAATTAAGCTTTATACTGATTTTGTATTGTTAGACCAATGATTTCATTGTTTAGGACAGCTAAAAATACTGATAATGATCAATTGGGTTAGCCATACTATGGTCTAAAATGCAGAAATTATGTTCAAAAGTCTAGTTTTCTTTCAATCTATCATCCATCAAAGTAAATAACACTTGGAAATAAGTAAAGCTGTGACTAGTACATCTAATTATACACACAAGATCACAAATATTGTTTTATTCATCGAAACTGTAATATAATTAAATAAAAATAATTGATTTTTTGGTGGACGTACTTGAAATTTTCAGGGGTGGGGACTTAAATTTCAGGGGAAGGGTGGACATTGGTAAAAGTATGTTTTGTATATAAATTCCATTTTGTTCTGGGGAAGAGCCCCCCCCCCCCTCCTCCTAAATGATGCCTGAAAAAAACTCTGCCCTCAGTGAATTTGCAAAAGATGATCCGGTCCAGTCCCAGATGTCATCCAGCCATCTTCTCATTTGTTACTCTCGCTATTCCCCCCCCCTAACAGGCGTACATTAGGACATCAGACATCGTATTTCTGGGGCACGGATCCGTCTCTGGGGGCTTGTATTGAGTGTTCATGGCTCTCATCCATGTACGGCTCCCAATCTAACACCAGGAATCTCCTTAAAAAGTTAACAAAGTAAAACTGGTATTGGGAAACTTTGGAGGGGAATATTATTGGGGCATGGCAACTGTACACAGCTAATTCACATTTCTGCTATATGTAGCTTAAACTCTCTTATATGAAGAGAGTTAACCAACCCCCATGACTAAATCATTTCACCTAAATCGTGGCCATTGTTATTATTCTGGTTTGTTATAATTTTAATATCACGCGCTAGTAAATTTACAGCAATACTAAATTAGTTTGTATTCAATGGTATTAAATACTTCAGTAAGTGTAATTCTGAAAACTTAAAAATAAAATGTTTTTCAATATTTGCAATCTTTTAATACAATAATATATAAGAAAATATAGCTCAAGGTCATAATTAAATATCTATAAATACTACTTAACACCCCAAAGTCAACAGTTAACACAGTCAACAATTGTTTCACCATAAATAATCTTTTAACATAAATATTTTCATCTGTGTTTCTCGCTAGTGTCCAATAAATGTGACGTTTGTGTAGCAATCTGCATAAATATAGGTCAAAGTCATAATTAAATATCTATAAATACTACTTAACACCCCAAAGTCAGCATTTAACAAAGTCAACAATTGTTTCACCATAAATAACCATTTAACATAAACATTTGCATCTGTGTTTCTCGCTAGTGTCCAATAAATGTGACGTTTGTGTAACAATCTACATGGGGCCATTCGTTGCTAGCGTCCCACTTATGGGACGCTTGTTGTACACTTGATAAAACGAAGTAGTAAAAAAAAATTGTTATTCTTAAATTTTTATCAGATAGAAATATGGTACTGCTACAAGTTTCAAATGTATTTTGCACTTAAAATGTTAATATTTTAGAAGATATGTATTTTCCTGTGCGCATGTTTTCTTTTTTCCGCCATTTTGACTAGTCCTGCAAATCCGGCACTATAACATATTTCTAAATTAATTTTTTTCACAAAACACACACAAATTCAATAGTCTAGCCATTTTCAAATACAATGAAACATAATTTGTGTTTTAACTAGTTTTAAATAAATTTTAGCAATTTTTTTTACAAGCGTCCCATAAGTGGGACGCTAGCAGAATATGGGTTAAAATGACACAACATAACAAAACTTTTAACTTTCTACCCCAAAAATAAATAAATCACTCTGTTGAATGCCCCCCACAACTGATGTGTATCCCCAGGGTCTGGGGCCCCTCCGCCCCCTCCCACCCCCTCTAGACGCCACTTAGTGTTAGTTTTGTCGTACCAAGACATCCGACCCCTACAACGACCAAGTCAAGACTAACATTCATCTAGTCACCAACTGTCCACTACAGGTATCGCGCCTGCTCACTAAAAACGTCTTCATCGGTCCGCATACAATAGGGTATCTCATTACTTGTTTTACCAAATTTACATCACATGTCAGGTCGGGGGCTAATACGCGACCGCCATCTCAAGTCACCTCAGTTCAAAAGCGAGTGGACCGTGCCCTGAAGACAGCGAGGCGTGACATAATGTCTTTCTATCGAATAACGGCCTGTCCCAGTTCAGGTGGGTGAAAACTCAGTAACACCGACCTTGGCCTCAGTTTTTCCCTATTGAATTCAGCAAAGATTATTCAAGTTTACAAACTAATTCAGACAACAGTGACGGTGCTGAAGCGCGGGGCTTTGGGCGACCGCCCCATTTACCACCCCCAAACGCCGGCTTTGTGCTGATTACTAAACACACAAGTCATGGTCCTTTACAGATAGGTTTTTCACAGAGGCCAGTGCAGGGCCTGACCTGTCTAGAACGGCTAGTATGAAATATATATGACATTTCGTCAGGGAGGTGTAAAATTACAATACTTACGTTTTTAAAATGAGGTAAAAAATAGTTTCCTGGGAAGTTTTATGTTACAAACAAGCAGACCAAATTAGCCATCTATTAAGGTATTATTAGATCTATATAGTATATGCTATTTATATAAGCACAGTAAAGAAGTAGATTTTTTTCCACTTTGTATGATACTAGTCGATAAGTAAAAAGTTTGACCATTTTATTTTATTTTCAGTTGACTACCGGTCTTATCATCTACCCGATCGTTTGTTTTCCTGGAGTAGTTGGCAATGCATTGACCATCTTCGTATTGTCCAGACGAAACATGCATACTTCAACAAACGCATTTCTCAGCGCTCTTGCGGTGGCGGACTCCATTAAGCTTGTCAACGACATTCTGTACTTTTTCGTCAGTGTTTTCATGAGAACTTCTAGCAAGTTAGGCAATTTGTCATACGGCTATTTGTATCCGTACGCACACTTTGTGTTCAGTTTGTCTGTGTCTGTGTCTTCCTGGCTTACAGTGTCTGTGGCGGTAGAACGTTATATAATGGTGTGCCACCCAACCCGTGCCAAGGCTGTATGGAGCCGGCGTCGTGCCGTCTTCTTGTGTGCATTTATTTACATCGTAATGTCGACGCTAGCATTGCCTTCAGCTTTGAGGTATCGAACAATTCGCTGTGTAGACCAGGAAACGAAATCTACCCGTCTTGACGTGGAGCTGACCGACATGTGGCAGAACACACTGTTTGTTACGATTTATACATGGTGTCAGAACTTGCTACGGTCTATCATTCCTCTAATAGCTCTTGTTATTCTTAATGCCTGTATTATAACCAAACTTCGGCGAACCAAAGCTAAACGGCGCAAGAATGCTCGTCATCGAGTCACTATAATGATGATTGTTGTGATTCTAGTTTTTTTGATTTGTATAACACCGGACGCCATCTTGTCTACAGCTTTTGGATTTGGTTACCACGAGTCCGGCTATCTGACAAGAGCAATTCGTGAAATCACCGATACGTTGCTGGCTATTAGTGCCGGTGTCAACTTTTTAATCTATTGTGCTTTTAATCACGTGTTTCGTAAAAGTTTCACAAGAGTATGCTGTCCTGTTAGGAGAGCATCCAACTCGTGGATGACTGAGCTAGACGAGTCGACTTACAGAAGGTTATCTGAGGCCCGGACGGTTATCATGTCCAACATTGATTCATCATTAAGGAAAGATGCCTCTCCCACCTTAGATACGCCAACAAGCAAGTACGCTGCTCCACTGGAAACTTCCTTCATTATTGAGACCGTCCCCGTCAGTAGGTCACAAGTTGACAATGAGAGCACAAGCTTACAACTTAAGTCAGGGCTCTCCAGCTGTGTCGTCGTCGTGAAGGACGAAAACATTTTAAAGCCAAGCGACGATAGTCAAAGTTTTCTAAAAGACAAAACAAATCAAGCTGGTAAAAGCTATCGAGTAGAACCGGGAAACGGTTTATTTGAACCAACGCAGGCACTAATCGTACATCCGGCACCTCGCCTTTTCTCCAGTCGTCTCAAGAAGTCTAAAAATAGCATCAAATGCAACCGGAAAAAAGGTCAGCTGAATGTTGTAACGTTTAAGCAGACGTCGGAAACAATAGAAAAGAGCAATGCTGATTCAGAGAACGCAAACTACATTGTAAGAGAACGCGCTGACAGTTTATGCCAACCCGACACACCGTCGACTGTTGTATTAGTCCCTATACAACAAAGAGCCTACAAACAGAGAAGAGAATGTGACATCCAACTAGTCAATAGAAAAAGATGCAATACTGAACTTTATGTGGAGAGATTAAAAAACACAGAGGGTATATCTGTCGGTTGTGTTGAGGATAGCAGCGTCCAAAAACACGGCGACACAATCGGCACAATAGATACCAAGGCTGGTAGGAAAAAACGTCGATTGACAGTATCATTCAACATTCACACAAAGCCCAATAAATCAGATCTTAGTTTTGGCAGATGTCAGACAACTTGACGATCGTGACAAGTTGAAAGGACGTAAGGAGGAAATCTATGTGAAAAATGTCGGGAATTTAGATGAAACTTACAATTTGAAAAAGCAATTTCTAACTACTGATTTATAGATTCGACAGCACTTTTTAAATATATCTGCATCTGCAATTGTATCTGTATCTGTACCTGTACCTATATCTGTATTTGTATCTGTACACACACACCTATACAACTACACACACATATACACATACATACCCTAGCCACAACCTCAGCCACAAACATAAACACAATCATAAACATACACATAAACACAAGCACATACACAAACTTGAATTTTTTAAATGTAATTTTAATTATTTTTTAAAATCTTGTAATACTCAAAAGGGAAGTAATTGTTACATTTTAAGATAAAATTATAACTTTTGTGAAGGATAATAAATTTATTTTGATTTTGTTCTTGTGTTTAAATGGAGTTTATTATAATATGCTTGTCTGTCACAAACAGGTAAACAATTCAGCTATAGGCCAATTATGCTTTGTAATACACGTTAGGCGTAAGCTTGTTATTAAATTTTGTTTACAAGCTTGTATTTGCTGTTATTATCCGTCATGGATCTAAATTGCCGAGCGAAATGTCGGGCACTTCTAACTGACCGATTCGTTTCGAACTTAGCATGTGGGTCAAGACCCGATGAAAATGCAATCTGACATCAAATTTGACTAAAGGGGATGACTAATCAATTGTTTTTGAGTTAATTAATTTTATCTGAAATTAGTAGCTGTCTTACACGTACTATTCCGCACATTATCATATTCATTTGGCGCGCAATAGATTTTAGTCATGCAACTTTATAGTACTAAATATTTTAAAGTACTGAAAAAATACTGCTTTAAATAATTGCATTAAAATTTTAATAACAAGCTTTTATGTAATAATGCACTAAAAGGGAGAAAATAAATAATTTTCTTTAAAAATATAAAAACACACTACTATTATTATACAGTGCATTTGTCCTGATATGTTTTGTCCTAATATATTTTGTCCGTGAGATTATATGTCCTGAGATCGTTTGTCCTGAGATATATTGTCTGGGATATTTTGCCTGAGATCATTTGTCTTGATATAATAAATCTACCATGAAACCTATATATATATATATATATATATATATATATATATATATATATATATATATATATATATATATATATATATATATATATATATAACCACTCTCATTCTATCAGAAAAAACTATAGCCATCTCACTAATAGCTAGCTATATGACATAAATTGACATAAACTTCGCTAGGCCTATATAAACTATGCATTTATCAAAGTTCTTGAATTAGATCGACCCTTTACAGATGCGATAAGATCATGATATTTGGTAAGTAGATAGCTCTGATGACGTAGCGCCTCGAAATTAACCACATTCTTCGAAATGGCATATGCTAATTAAACTGGGAAAAGTATCGCCGCGTTTTAATAGTTTTATGTATAATTTACATTTTTGCCATGGTGTCTTCCCCATTAGTGCTTGTCACCCGGTTTGATCGGCAGCCCTAGTGACGCCTGTGGTCCCGCCTATGACTCGTAAAGACGCCATCAAACCGTAAATAATAGCTAGCTTAGAACGTTGCCAACAGTAGCTAGATAAACTAGCTGTGCTCGCTGCAAATATAGAATACGTGTACTCGGTCACGTCTAGCGATTAGATTCAACGGCTTTAATGTATTCTCTAACGTCAAAATAATGGATTGATCAATCATGAATTTTTGATACGTTCTTTCATAGAAAGAAGAAACCCTTTTAAAATGTATGTAGCTCTTTGAAATAAAAGTAAAGTCAAGGCAAGAAGGGTTGACAGATAGAGATGAAGGATTTATGGAGCTGTTGAATCCTCACATAAACGTATCAAACCTACAACAACAGATGGAATTGGATTGGTGGAGTTGTTGTATCGTCACATAAACTTATCAAACCTACAACAACAGATGGAATTGGATTGGTGGAGTTGTTGTATCGTCACATAAACTTATCAAACCTACAACAACAGATGGAATTGGATTGGTGGAGTTGTTGTATCGTCACATAAACTTATCAAACCTACAACAACAGATGGAATTGGATTGGTGGAGTTGTTGTATCGTCACATAAACTTATCAAACCTACAACAACAGATGGAATTGGATTGGTGGAGTTGTTGTATCGTCACATAAACTTATCAAACCTACAACAACAGATGGAATTGGATTGGTGGAGCTGTTGAATCCTCACATAAACGTATCAAACCTACAACAACAGATGGAATTGGATTGGTGGAGCTGTTGTATCCTCACATAAACGTATCAAACCTACAACAACAGATGGAATTAAAGGGATTAGCGGAGTTAAGGGGGAAATCCGGTCAGGGGTGGGGTGGGGGGGGGGGGGGAGAATAGGGAGTCGGGCTGTGTAGAATCCATGCTCCTTAGGCAGAACATACTATTAAGCGGCTCAAAGACAGACAGAGACAGACAGTCTGACAGACTAACACACAGACACACAGACAGACGGACGGACGGACGGACGGACGGACGGACAAACAGACGGACAGTCGGATAGACGGACAGTCGGACAGACAGACGGACGGACAGAAATAGAAAACTAATGTTCAATTTTTATCACAAGCTAACGAGATGCCTGTTTATCCAAAACATTTTAGTTTTATAAAGCAGCTGAGATTCGATGGCAATAAATAAATCCCTTGACATCCTCCTCTAATCTTTAGACGCACGAACATAATACGTCAGTCTAAGCGTTGGTTATCATTTCAAAGGATGAAATGCTTTGTCAGAATTTTAAAAATATAATCTTGCCTCAACAGAAGTGTTTTATATTAATATATATATATATATATATATATATATATATATATATATATATACTAGGCATACTGCCTAGCTTCGCTTAGGTTGTCAAAAACATTTGATAATTTGAATACTAATTATTTATTGATTGATGAGGTGTGGAGTGTTAAATTTAAACAGTAATGCTAATTTGAGAGAAGATGTTGTTGTATGTTGTTTACGATCCGCTTTCAGAGAAAATAACTGAAAGTACGCAATTTATGACTAAAATGAAATTAGAACTACAGAGGTTCCACGATCAGTATATCTCAAAATTTATATTACGTTAACTTTTAAAATTAATTTTTTTATTTAATTATGATATGTAGCTTAATTAAGAAATTAATGTTTTACTAAAACAAATGCTATACTTTGTCATTTTCTGTTTCTGTTTAAAATAGTATATAATTAATTGAAAAATAATTATTTAAAAAGGTTACCTCCCTTGAAAATGGCCCGAATGACATCTGTCATTGTTTACTTTTTTTTTAACAAACAGATGCAATGCTTATAGTAGAAAATACAATATATGAACATATTTAACGACTACAATGGCTTTTCCCGACTGGAATAAAGTTTTTTTGTTACCCTCCAGGGTCGGTCTACGACCTCATATAACATTAAGTGGATCGTTCGTCAATTTATTTATATACATCTCATATAAGAAGAATGTCACTCGCGGTCATCTTTTAGCCCTCGTCGAGGGCTTTGAGTGTGCCCAACAGTTTTTTCATACGGCCTAGTCATCTATAGAAATGTATGCAAAACATTAGCATGATGTACAGAGGTTAAGTAACCTAAAAATTGTGTTGAAATTACACTGTTTTTCCCATAAAATACAAAGATTATATAGGGAAATACGACTGGTCAGTTTTGACCCATTTAACGAATTTTCCAGGACATGGCGAGTTTTTTGTGACACCCCGAGGCGTTCTCCTACCACCTTACAAAATTTTAAGGGGGGTCGTCGGAGGAAATTTTTTTTCGTAATAGAGCTCATATAAAGAGAATTTCACTCGCGGTCACTTTTTAGCCCTCATCGAGGGCTTTGAGTGAAACTGACCGTTTTCCCTAAAGGTCAAGCCATTTACCTAAGAGCATGCAAAACATTAGCCAGATGTAAAGACGGCAAGTACCCTAAAATCCGTTTTGAAATCACCCTCTGTTTTTCCCATAAAATACAAAGATTATATAGGGAAATACGACTGGTCAGTTTTGACCCATTTAACGAATTTTCCCGGACATGGCGAGTTTTTTGTGACACCCCGAGGCGTTCTCCTACCACCTCACAAAATTTCAAGGGGGGTCATCGGAGGAATTTTTTTTTCGTAATAGAGCTCATATAAAGAGAATTTCACTCGCGGTCACTTTTTAGCCCTCGTCGAGGGCTTTGAGTGAAACCGACAGTTTTCCCTAAAGGTCAAGCCATTTACCTAAGAGCATGCAAAAATTTAGCCAGATGTAAAGACGGTAAGTGCCCTAAAATCCATTTTGAAATCACCCTCTGTTTTTCCCATAAAATACAAAGATTATATAGGGAAATACGACTGGTCAGTTTTGACCCATTTATCGAATTTTCCCGGACATGGCGAGTTTTTTGTGACACCCCGACGCGTTCTCCTACCACCTCACAAAATTTCAAGGGGGGTCGTCGGAGGAAATTTTTTTTCGTAATAGAGCTCATATAAAGAGAATTTCACTCGCGGTCACTTTTTAGCCCTCGTCGAGGGCTTTGAGTGAAACCGACAGTTTTCCCTAAAGGTCAAGCCATTTACCTAAGAGCATGCAAAAATTTAGCCAGATGTAAAGAAGGTAAGTGCACTCAAATCCGTTTTGAAATCACCCTCTGTTTTTCCCATAAAATACAAAGATTATATAGGGAAATACGACTGGTCAGTTTTGACCCATTTAACGAATTTTCCCGGACATGGCGAGTTTTTTGTGACACCCCGAGGCGTTCTCCTACCACCTCACAAAATTTCAAGGGGGGTCGTCGGAGGAAAATTTTTTTCGTAATAGAGCTCATATAAAGAGAATTTCACTCGCGGTCACTTTTTAGCCCTCGTCGAGGGCTTTGAGTGAAACCGACCGTTTTCCCTAAAGATCAAGCCATTTACCTAAGAGCATGCACAAATTTAGCCAGATGTAAAGACGGTAAATGCCCTAAAATCCGTTTTGAAATCACCCTCTGTTTTTCCCATAAAATACAAAGATTATATAGGGAAATACGACTGGTCAGTTTTGACGCATTTAACGAATTTTCCCGGACATGGCGAGTTTTTTGTGAGACCCCGAGGCGTTCTCCTACCACCTCACAAAATTTCAAGGGGGGTCGTCGGAGGAAATTTTTTTTCGTAATAGAGCTCATATAAAGAGAATTTCACTCGCGGTCACTTTTTAGCCCTCGTCGAGGGCTTTGAGTGAAACTGACCGTTTCGTCTAAAGGTCAAGCCATTTACCTAAGAGCATGCAAAAATTTAGCCAGATGTAAAGACGGTAAGTGCCCTAAAATCCGTTTTGAAATCAC